TGAATGGGGAGTGGCTGAACAGCCGGATGCCGGTTATATACCCGGCACCGCCACGAATGTCGGGAAGCCGGCTCCTGACGTCACTGAAGGTCCCGCCCACCTCTCCTGTGGTCTACATTCTTGGTCGAACGGCTGAAGGCTTTCTCCGCTTTCCTTGTAGGCGGGACTCAGACGTGAGTGGCGCGTGCGTTGTAGCCTATGAGAGCAGCAGGCGCCCTTCTGTGAGCGCGAGGGAGCCGGTCGGCGGCGAACCATCGTGTCTTTTTCATCTCCAGCAAACGGAAGAGCCCAGCGCGCGATGTCGTCACTCCAGCTCTGTAATTTCGGACCCGTTTATAAACCTTTGCCCTTCCCCCATTTGCCTGGCTTTCAGCTTCGTGCTCACGCAGTTCAGAACTTGAGTTGCCCACGTTTGTGCAGAGTCTAGTGTATTTCGTTTATCTCGAGGGATTTGGCTGTTTTCCCTGGAGCCGAAAATAATACAGTACAAGCAAAAGGTTGAGGCTCTTCTGTATAGCCGTCATCCTCTTGTACGAAGCAAGTCTCAGCATCCCGGGTTTATTACCTTGATGTTCAATTCTGCTTTCATTGCTTACCTAATGGACCTAGCGTTCTTGCACAACGAAATGACCTTGTTTTCCCTTCCATTTGAATGGATTCTCACATGGCTGTTTCAATCACCAGTTTTACTCCAATTTATGACCTTGTTGAAGTTTCCATATGCCCACCGTGCTTATTGTGCAATCAGTTCTCTGCCAGTAACATAGTATTACACTATTTATAATACATGCTTATGTATGAAAGATTTCAGGAAGCACAGCCACATCCCTACAAACAACATTAATGTCTAATCTCGACTACTTTAGTTGGAAAAAAGGGTGCACCTGGTTTTCATTCCACCACAATCATATCCATTTGGTAAAGCAGATAAAACTATGCCATACAATTAACATGTGCAGACAGAACCCCATGTGCTTTAGAGAGTTTTTGTAAAGAGTATCTGGTTGTATAATAAATGTAGCTGCTACTTTTAATGTGATGGGATATTCAGATTGGCTGGGGAGTTGCTTACCGCAGTTCTTCCAGATGGGCTGCTATACCTTTATTAAGAGAGCCCGTGTGGTGGAATAGTTCAGGGGGTGAATTAGGAATTGGAAGACACAAATTCCATTCTATTCCCAACTATGGAAGCTCACTGGAATTTTAGTCACTCTCTCCCAGCCCAGCCTGCTTTATGAGGTTGCTGTTGTGGAGAAAAATAGATGGAGGGAGCAATATATATGCCCTTGAATGAAAAGTGGGATATAGAAATATCATAAATAATAAAATATGATAAGTAGAATGTCAACAGATTGCTTTTCCTTTCATTGTATTTCAGCTTAGAAAGCTAGGGTATACTGAATATGTGACTGCCATAAACATTTATTAGAGACATAAGAGCTTTCTGCCTCATACTAAAATTAGTACAGTAGCCGTTCAGAATGCCCAGATAGGCTAAGGCGTATATTTAATACAAAGGAATTTAACTATTTCTGTTTATTCTAATTAATTTCTGTAATACTGCATGATTACAGAGTCAGGTCATTAATAATGTGCTGCATATTTTGTTTAATCTATTTTAGTATTAACATCAGCAATAAAGTAATAGTACAAGAATAGCAATACATTCTCACAAGAAAAAAAGCTCACACTTTCTCACATGTATTGTTTAGCAAAACTTAACACAGCTAGAAACAAAAATATTTACAACACTAGCAATTAATATTTTTATTGATCATTGGGCCTAACATAAAACAAGGAGAAATATCATTCCTAAATCTGGAATAGCACAGTTGATGCCAAGTAAACCTAACCTAAAGAATGAGAAAATAGCATATAGCCCCACTTAAGCAATGGATTAAAGCCCCATCACAGTGACAGAACATCAGTTTGCAAAAGGCATTATTGCAGAGTTTCAGAGAGCTCTAGTGCTAAACATCACACCAGTGTAACTGAAATAATCAAAGCATAAAACCATACTGTTCTGCTCCCATACTACAATATACAAGGAGAAAAACATCAGAAATAAGGTAATGGCAACACAAGATTGTCAACTTCATGCAGGAAAAACAGGGATTAAAAACAAGTCAGTCTGAACAAACTGAACAATAGCAAATATAAGCCACAAAAAAATAGCAATTAGCAGTACCCACAGGACTTCCATGCTTTGGGCAAAGATTCCAGTGGGACTTTCAGCAGCTACAAGAAGCAAAATATATACATATTGCTTTTGAGGAAGGAGAAATAAACAGCCTACCATTTATTTAAGGTGCTGTTTTTGACCTTTATAAAGGTCTTAATGACTTTCAGCCTGATAATCTATAGGACTGCCTCTGTGAAGCAGCCCAGATATTTAGATCAGGAGGGGCTCTTCTGAAGATGTTCCTACTGCCAGTAGATTAACTATAAGGTGCATGGGAAAGGGTCTTCCCCTTATGGCTCCCAAGTTATAGAATGTACGCCTTAAGCAGATGGATTGGTATCCAGATATATAGGAAGTTGTTAAAACACATCACTTTTGCCAATTGTTATCTTAATCACTAACTTGATTTTGATTTTGGTTTTAATTGTATTAATTTTTTTACTGTATACTTCATATTTTTTATTGTAAGCCATCTGGAGCATTGGAATAAATGAAAAGTTGGGGTTTAAATTCAATAATAAATAAAAATAAAATGCATGTTGGTGTTTGAAGCCTGTTATTTACTACTTTCTACTTATATTCAGTAAAATAGTCTTATTTTGCCATAGATAGTGGAGCAGTATGTATGGAAAACTTTGCCAGATGCAATGCAGTCCCATCATATCCAGGATGATTGTCAAGACATGTAGATGGCTTGGGAATGGCCCAAAGGTGTATTGTGGATATAATGTCCAGCTATTTATTTGTCTACTTTCCATTAGTAACATAACTTTCTTGTGCTGTGGTTAGTGCTGCTGTACATATTAAAAAAGCCTTGGCTGGATAAGATACAATCCCCCCACATCAAAGTCACTTTTCTAGATTTATGGGCATATGGTTTAGTACTTGATGTATCTCACAGATGTTTTGGAGTGTTCAGACACTATTATTCATTTCTACTGTATTTTCATCAATATCAACATGTACCATAATTGAACATACAGTAAGCCTTGAGCCAAACGAATTTCAGTAATGCTACATCCTGGACAGTTTCAGGCACTTCAAGGTTGATGATTCAGGATGACCCAAATATGGGATGCTACATTCAGATTTTATGTTTAATTTTTGTATGGAGTTAGCATGCATTACATTTTCTTGTACAAAGACAATTATTTTTATTATATTGAACTACTATTTATTTTAGGGTTTTGCAAAATATTCCGCGTACAAACCACTTCACAGATGGAACAGCAGGTTTTGGATGGTCCATGCCTGAAAGGAAACATGTTTCCTGTGGATTGCCTGCAGATGGAACGAACAAAACAGGTTTTTTTGTTCCGGGTTTGAACACAGCTGTTCCATCCAGAAGCGGCTGGGTGGAGTAAAAATGAGGAATAAAAAAGGAGATCGGTTACAGGAGTGGGGCATGAAACAGAGGGAAAGGAGGACGCTAAGAAGACCGGGAGTGGGTGGAAACCCTGCTCCTCGCTCCTGAGACCGTGCAAATAAGAAACAGGCACGCAGGTCATTGCCTAGCTAGCAAAGGCTTTAAGAGAGGGAGGAAAGGCATCGAGAAGATGGGAGCGCGGGTGCGACCTGAGCAGCAACCGAACTGAGGGAGGGCAAGGCAAGCACTGGGAAGATGAAAGCAAGCGCCGGCAGTAGCTGGGGATGGAGGAGGACAGCGCCTACACCGGCTTTGCCCAACTCACCCCATAAAATAAATCACTGCGAGACCCTCCAGAATTTGTTTCATTCCAAACAGGAATTTTTTGCAGCCGACCCGAAACATTTCGGCATCATTTCCGGAATTCAACACAAAATCTATTTGCATTTCACGCGCACGTACACACACCGATTTTCTTTGGCGGGCATAGTGCCCTGATTGCAGCGATAAATGATATATAGGCTGGATTTATTTTTATGTTTAGGTCAAACATAACATACGCTTTAGATTCTTCATGTGTGCCAACTCTCG